GCTCTGGTCCAGAAACCTCTTGAGCTGCATCAGAGTCAGTCGATTTCCTTGCTTTGCCCAGCTCAGGGCTATCCAGCACCCAGTTTTCGGTAAGCCGAAACTCTCATCTGCCCAACATTCAGTTCTTAAATGGAAACGTTTAAATGAATTGCGTTTTATAACACTTTGTTTTTGGCTGTTTAGAACCAGTTGGCGGTAAGGCGCCCACTCTGCTCTCCAATGACCACAAACGCTCTTGGATCGAACGCTTGCTGTCCACTAATTTGGCTATATTCTGTCCAGCTCAAGCTTATCCTGTGCCAGCATTCAGGTTAGGTTTCTGAAAGTACCATTAAGGTTTAACATTAGATTGTTTGTCTTTGTTAAATTATTTTCAGAGCCTGTTTCAAGCACGGCACCACGCATTCCCTCGATAATGAGCAAACCTTTTGAGCTGCATAAGGGAACAGATATTTCGCTGCTCTGTCCTGCTCAAGGCTATCCAGCGCCTAGCTTTCGGTATTAATAATATATTTGGCTTTAACGATATGAATTTTGACCAGACACCAAACTATGATGACATTTGAAAATTGTGTTTTCAATTTTAATTGCAGTATAAATGTAGATGCCAAACCATTGCCATAAAGCCATTGCTTTTGAAAATCGGTTAGATTCTGACAAAGTTATGGCTACAGACAATTTTGACCATTACTTCTAACACCGAACCTATCTATCATGCATCCCACCATTCAGTTAAAGTTTCTCCTTACGATTACTCAATAAACTATTTCCATTCAGAGCCCATTTCGGCAAAGGCTCCCACTCTCTCCACTGATACGAAATGGTCGGGAATTGAAAGGCACCGCGACATGGATATTGTGTTGTTGTGCCCGGCGCAGGCATTTCCTGTTCCCGTCAGCAGGTTAGTCGAGAAACGAGAATCGAGAATCGAGAGTTCCGTAATCTGTTAGCGGCGTGCTTTTAATTATGCATTACGCGTGTGAACTTTAACCCCAAGCGAGGGACCGAAGCGTTGTTCATTCATAAAATGTGCGCGCAAACAAACATAAAAAAAACACAGACACAAATACAAACACAGGCAATGGCAAAATAGGCGCGCACACACGCATAAAAAGTAAGCTAAATAAACAAACCGTAAACCGGCAGTGGCAGAAATCCATAGAAGAGTAGCAAAGGCAATAAAATGCAACTGCCGCCCCCAACCCACTCCAATCCACACTCTCACTCTCTCTTGCGCTCTCACAATTTGTGCTTGTGTGTGTGTGTGCCTGACTGTTTGTAAACAAACGCGTAGCACAGCTGATTGCGCTCTCTGTTGCTCTCTTGAGCAGTGCGCACGCTCGCATTCCACACGCACACACATACATAAAAATTTCCCAAGCAATTACCCCTACATGCGCACGCCGGTTTTTGTGTGGAGCATTTGTGGACTGCATGCGTCTCGCTCGCACACCGGTTTATGAATGAACGCACGTTTCTGGGTCAACTTTCGCTTGTTGACTCTTTCCCGCCACCTGTTGCGCCCACATCTGTTGAGTTGCGCTTTGTGCGCAAGTCGCATTGCGTAATTTAAATAACCTTAAGCTTAACATTGACCCCAATCAAATATGCATTGTGTGGTTTAAGTTTATTGCCCGCTTTCTCTTCTCTGCTTCTGCTTTTTGCGTTCATTCGAACTGAGTTCGAAAAGTTCAACGTCTTTGGGGGGTTGCGTTTAACTGTGAGCTTTGTGTCAAAAGGTCACGTTCAAAGTGCTCGTGCACTTGAGGTTTTTTTCTTTTCTTGTCGGACTTGTATTAGATTTTGTTTGTGTGGTTGGCTTCCAACTTTTTGGCTTTGATTTTATGTAATTAAATCACATAAATTTTAACTTATGCATTTAAACTTGAGCTCGAAGCTAAATGAGGTGAATATATCGAAATCTGCTAGGTTTGGCAACAATTAAGTGAGTTTTAGCTCTCCCATTCATTGAGGCAGTTTGCTTTAAGCTTCCCTTTCCTATCTCATAGTTAAGTGCAAGTTTTAAAATAAGAAGAAAAATGTTTTAAATTATGATAACCTTTAAATATTTCTTTAAAAATCATTTTAAACAAATTTGATCCGAAATAGAAGGTAATTACCGTTATTTTCACAGAGCCGATCGGTTCAAAGGCGCCCACTGTGCCCTCGGGCGTTCAGACCTTTCAGCAACATGTACCCCTGGGTTTTAGCTTTGCGATGCTCTGTCAGGCTCAGGCATTTCCAGTGCCTGTATTTAGGTAAATACAAATTGAGTACCCAAATGCTAATAAGCTGCCCAACTCTAAATTCACTCAGTTTATATTTACCACTCCGAGTAAATAATGTTAAATGCGATTCTATTTCAAGAACCTGTTGGTTTCAAGGCGCCCAGTTTTCCCAGTGTTGCCTCCACGTTCACCATACACGCTCCCCAGCATAGCAACTTATCCTTGACCTGTGAGGGTCAGGCGTATCCTGTACCGATATTTAGGTAACTAGGATTAATAGTTTAATAACTGTTGTCTTTGTCAGTAACTTGGACTAACACTTGCCAACTGGTTCTCTAGATGCAACTAGAATTATTTTAATTGTATTTTTAATGCCATTGATTTTAGAACCTGTCGGGGCAAAGGCACCCACATTTTCGAGCGACTCCAAGGGTAGCATATTCGAGCGTTCCATCAATGCTAGTTTCGCGTTACTGTGTCAAGCACAAGCCTTTCCCGTGCCCATCATTAGGCAAGTTGAACGAGTAGCTTCCATGTCGGGCAGTTTTTGGCTTTTAGGAATACCCATTTTTACATACATTGCTTTTTACAGAACCCATTGGCTCTAGGGCACCCACATTTTCCTCAGACTACAATTCCTTTTCTTATGCACGCCCCGTGGGTCAAAGTTTTGCGCTGCTTTGCCAGGCTCAGGCATTTCCAGTGCCCGTTATGAGGTAGACTGAATCAGTCATTAATTTCATATCATTCAGCTCATTCAGGCAGTTTTTGTATTGCTATTAAGAGTATTTTTAAGGCGAACAATCAATTGCAATTTACAGAACCGATTGGAGCAAGAGCGCCAACCTTCTCGACAGATTCAAACTCCTTCTCATATACCCGAGGAGTTGGTCAGAGTTTTGCGGTACTTTGTCAAGCTCAGGCATTTCCAGTGCCAGCTATGAGGTAGACTGAATTAGTTATTAATTTCTTAGCTATCAGTTCATTCAGGCAGTTTCTGTGGTGTTATTAAGAGTATTACCATGGCGAACAATCTATTGTAATTTACAGAACCCATTGGAGCAAGAGCGCCAACTTTCTCTACAGACTCCAACATATTCTCATATAGCCGGGGAGTGGGACACAGTTTCGCACTACTTTGCCAGGCTCAGGCATTTCCAGTGCCTGCTATGAGGTAGCTCCATTTATATAACGACCTCTTAACATTCAGACAGTTATCAATTATATAGTTTTCTAACGAATTGTGACTATCTCTCACTCAAATTCCAGAACCCGTCGGTGCCAAAGCGCCCACATTTGCTAGTGTCTCAAAAATCTCTAGTTTGCTCGGTGGCAGCTCGAGTGATATTGTTTTGCTCTGCCAGGCTCAGGCATATCCTGTGCCGTTTAGTAGGTAAACATTCAAACAGTTTTCTATCTTAACAACATTCTTAAAACTGGTCACCTGCCAACTGTTTGTGTTTGGAATCGCATGCCGAAAATAATTTGAAATATTTTCGCATATTTTTAGAGCCAGTCAGCGCTAAAGGTCCCACTTTTGCTACCGATATGAAAAGTTATACATTTGTGCGGAACTACGGTCAGAGTTTTGCACTTCTTTGTCCCGCTCAGGCGTATCCTGTGCCCCTAATAAGGTATCCATAAAGTAGCATTAAGTATTTCTCAACCAGTTCAGGCAGTTATTTTATTTACTTTCTCACTTGTTGCTATTCATTTTTGTAGAACCTATTGGCGCAAGGGCTCCTAGCTTCTCGGGCGAATCGAAAAGTTCTACATTTGTCAAAGAAATCTCGACTAGTTTTGCCTTACTCTGCCAGACTCAGGCATATCCCGTGCCCATAATACGGTTAGTTCCAAATTCCAACAAAAATCGGGCAGTTTTCTCTGAATTTTGCATAGATCATAACGCTCATAATGCTTTGCAGAACCCGTGGGCAGTGTGGCTCCTAAAATCTCCGGTGGTCGTCTGCAAGAAATGACAAGAGCTGCGGCCAATGATTTATCCATTTTGTGTCTAGGTCAATCCTATCCAACACCAGCTTTTAGGTAATAAGCCCAGCGATATTCAGGCAGTCTTTTCATATTGTTTTTTCTCTATCAAAAACTCTGCTTGATAATTGCTTTTCTTTCAGAGCCCATTGGTAGTGTAGCGCCAACTGTATCAGGTGATCGATTGCAGGAGTTGACTCGCAAATTGAACTCCAATTTCTCCATACTCTGCCAGAGTCAGGCATATCCCATGCCAGCTTTTAGGTACTAAGTAATACCTCAATATATTATCCAATCGTTCAGGCAGTTTGTAGTTTATAGTCTTAGAGCATTCCTAAACATTTTGAGCTTGTCAACCTTACAGAACCCATTGGCCATGTTAAGCCACGCATTGCGGTCAAAAGCATTGAGATCAATGATGTGCCCTTGAATGAAACCTTTGTAGGCCATTGTCCCGGGCAGGGTTATCCGGTGCCAGTTTATAGGTAGCTCAACTTTTGTTTAGGGCGTTTGCCTATCTGTTAGGAACTTGATTTCCCCCTACCCCAAAGTGATGCACAAAATAAGCAAATGATGTGAACAGAACTCACAAATTTGAGGTGAGTATATACAGAATAGTTGCCATAGCTGAAGTGGAGAGTAAGTATAAAGATCGACATCCAGACTATGAGTTCTGTTAGTTTCAAAAGAATTCCCTAAGACATTTGCTCGTTTTGTGTTCACTGTCCCAAGTCAACCTTAAACACTTGACTAGCATCGATTAATCTGTGTTTCTCGTTCCAGATGGTACAAATTCATTGAGGGAACCACCCGTAAACAGGCTGTTGTATTGAATGATCGCGTCAAGCAGGTTTCTGGCACACTTATTATCAAGGATGCTGTTGTCGAAGATTCTGGCAAATATCTGTGTGTTGTCAACAACTCGGTGGGTGGCGAAAGCGTTGAAACTGTCCTGACTGTAACTGCACCACTGTCCGCTAAAATCGATCCACCCACGCAAACCATTGACTTTGGACGTCCCGCTGTGTTCACCTGTCAGTATACCGGCAATCCTATCAAGACCGTCAGCTGGATGAAGGACGGCAAGGCAATGGGACACAGTGAGCCTGTGCTGCGCATCGAGTCGGTGAAAAAAGAGGACAAGGGCATGTATCAGTGTTTCGTTCGCAACGATCAGGAATCCGCAGAGGCAAGCGCTGAGCTGAAACTGGGCGGTCGTTTCGATCCACCCGTCATCCGACAGGCCTTCCAAGAGGAGACCATGGAGCCCGGTCCAAGCGTATTCCTTAAGTGTGTCGCTGGAGGCAATCCCACACCCGAAATCTCCTGGGAATTGGACGGCAAGAAGATTGCCAACAACGACAGATATCAAGTGGGACAATATGTAACAGTCAATGGCGATGTGGTTTCCTACTTGAACATTACCTCCGTGCATGCTAACGATGGTGGCCTCTACAAGTGCATTGCCAAGAGCAAAGTGGGAGTGGCCGAGCACTCTGCCAAACTGAATGTCTACGGTCTGCCCTACATCCGTCAAATGGAAAAGAAAGCAATTGTCGCCGGTGAGACATTGATAGTCACATGCCCCGTAGCTGGATACCCCATTGATTCCATTGTCTGGGAGCGTGGTAAGTAAACAAATCGAATCCCATTCAAAAATGAGTTAACTAAGTATGTATTTCGATATGCTTAGATAATCGTCCACTGCCCATCAATCGCAAGCAGAAGGTCTTCCCCAATGGCACACTCATCATTGAGAATGTGGAACGCAATTCGGATCAGGCAACCTACACGTGTGTGGCCAAGAATCAGGAGGGTTATTCGGCACGCGGATCCCTGGAAGTGCAAGTCATGGGTAAGTTGATTAATTCATTTATTGCGCGAGACAACCCTTAAAAAGGTAGCTCGTCGCCAGTTTTATCTTTTGGGCGGGTCGAATTTTCAGCTCCACCAGCAAATACAAAAGAATCCCCTGCAACGTTGGTCGCTCTGTTCACTCGCCATTAATTGATCCATCCCAACTTAGTGCCGCCACAGATAGTGCCATTTGATTTTGGCGAGGAGGCCATCAATATGAACGATATGGTGTCGGCCACCTGTACGATCAACAAGGGCGACACCCCACTCGAGGTGTACTGGACAACGGCACCGGAACCGAAGCTCGGTGTGGCGCGTCTCATGTCCAATGATGGCATCTTGATAACCAAGACAACGCAACGCATCAGCATGCTGAGCATTGAGTCCGTACACGCTCGCCACAGGGCGAACTACACCTGTGTGGCACGGAATGCCGCCGGAATTATTTATCATACGGCGGAGCTGCGTGTCAATGGTGATGCCTCAGCTTATAGGAATACCTATTGTAGACCCTCAATTCGCTTGGTAGTTGTGCACCCTCGTCTAACGTTATGTATATGTATATTTTGTTAAACCCTCCAAAAACCCATCCAAGTACTGCCTCAGATAGTGCCGTTTGAATTCGGTGAGGAGAGCGTCAATGAATTGGACATGGTCTCCGCCTCCTGCACGGTCAACAAGGGTGATCTGCCCATCGATGTGGCCTGGACAAAGAATGGCGGTCGTGTCTATACCAACGATGGCATTGTGGTCACCAAAACTAGCACACGCATGAGCGTCCTCAGCATTGAATCGGTGCGAGCTCGCCACGCAGGCAACTATTCCTGCATAGCGACGAACAATGCTGGCGATAGCAAACATTGGGCCATTCTGGCCGTCAATGGTTAAGAGGGTTTTATTCATAGCTCATTAGCTTTGTCGTTACATTTTGCTTTGCTTTGCTTTGCTTTTGTTTAACCCAACCAACTCCCGCCCAGTTCTGCCTCAGATAGTGCCCTTTGATTTTGGCGAGGATAGCATCAATGAACTGGACATGGTCTCAGTTTCGTGTACGGTGAACAAGGGCGACCTGCCCGTGGATATCTATTGGACGAAGAACGGTGGACGTCTCTACACCAATGATGGCCTGCTGGTCAATCGAAACAGTCAGCGTTTAAGTGTCCTCAGCATCGAATCCGTGCGAGCTCGCCATGCGGGCAACTACTCCTGTGTAGCGACAAATAACGCTGGAGCTACCCGGCAATCGGCCATGTTGGCTGTCAATGGTTAAAATTCCTTACTGTCTGCTTTAAATCGACTTTGTTTGCTTTTGTTTGGTTTTACTTGAATCACAAATCCCCAACAATCCCGCATATTCACAGTCCTGCCCCAAGTGATGCCCTTTGACTTTGGGGAGGAGAGCATCAACGAACTGGACATGGTCTCGGCCTACTGTACGGTCAACAAGGGCGACCTACCGCTAGACATTGCCTGGACGAAGAATGGCGGGCGGGTCTTCACCAACGATGGCGTTGTCGTCACTCGCAATAGCCAACGCATCAGTGTCCTCAGCATTGAATCAGTCCGAGCTCGCCACGCAGGCAACTACTCCTGTGTGGCAACCAATAATGCGGGCGATACCCGACAATCTGCCATGCTGGCAGTGAATGGTTAAGCTTTAGTTCCTTTCGATTAGCTTCAAGCTTTTTCTTTCTTTTATATTCTGTTCAGTTTTGATACCCAACCCAATCCGAATTTCATTACTTGTCAGTGCCACCGTCCATTGCACCCTTCTCCTTCGGCGATGATCCTGTGAATACGGGCGAAAACGCTGGCGTTCAGTGCATGGTGCAGAAGGGCGATGTGCCTATCACCATCAAATGGACACTGAATTCGCGACCCATTATCAACGGCGAGGAGGGCATCACTATACTGAAGCTATCGCCCAAGACCAGTGTACTAAATATAGCCGCCGTTGAACAGTACCATCGGGGCACATTCAAATGCATAGCCGAGAATATGGCTGGATCTAGTTATACCACATCCGAGCTGAAAGTCAACGGTATATCGCTATCTGATATCTGATAACTGATCACGATCCAGCTTTATTATGTAGTTTATCATTTTGATTTGTTCATTTTTAATTTCACACTCCATTGACATAGTGCCACCCCATGTCCTGCCCTTTAGTTTTGGCAGTGAGGTCTTCAACATGGGCGATATTTTGAGCATGACTTGTGTGGTGCTGAAGGGAGACTTACCATTGAAAATACATTGGAGCCTGAACGATGAGGCCATTGAAACGGATAAGGATGGTTTCACTGTTGTGCAGATGAATAGTCGCACCAGCTACCTCAGTGTTGATGCCCTGGAGGCAAAGCATCGTGGTGTTTATAGCTGCATCGCCCAGAATCAGGCGGGTCGGGCCAAATATGCCGCTGAATTACAGGTTAACGGTTGGTGGCTCAAAAGCATATACATACTTTCTTAATTCTCTACTCTCAGCTACTTATTAACTTACTTTCGGTTTATTCGGTGTTGCCAAGCTTAGAATGTGTGTGCTGTTAAAGAGTTACTTAGTCGAATAAAAGCTGAATAGTCATAAACTGAAATTTTCACAGTTGCACCACAGATTAGCCCATTTAGCTTTGGAGAGGAGCCACTAAATCGCGGCGAGGTGGCTAGTGTTACTTGTGTGGTGCCCAAAGGCGATCTACCTTTGGATGTATTTTGGACGATAAACTCGGCACTGATAGTCAACGGTGAGCTCGGCTTTACCATAGTGCGACTCAACAAGCGAACGAGTTCGCTGAATGTGGACTCCTTGGAGGCCGCACATCGAGGCAGCTATAAGTGCATAGCCAACAATTCAGCGGGTTATGCTGAATATGTTGCGATTTTAGAAGTGAATGGTTTGTCACGTTGATAGTAGATATGTTTACTTTTGTTTATAGTTAGCTATTAGTTATTTTTATTTGATATTCACTTGTTTTGTTGTCCCGACTCCAATCTACAATTAAGTGCCTCCACAAATACAACCCTTTGACTTTGGCATCGAGCCCGCCAACACTGGTGAAATAGCTGGTATTTTCTGCATGGTACCCAAGGGTGACTTGCCCATGGAAATTCGTTGGACTTTAAACTCAGCGCCCATTATAACTGGGGAGCATGGTTTCTCCTTGTCGCGTCTGAATCCTCGCACCAGCTCGCTGAGCATTGATGCTCTGGAGGCTCGACATCGCGGATTATACAAATGCATAGCGGCAAACAACGCTGGCACCGCTGAATATAGCGCTGAATTGCATGTGAATGGTTTGTGCAGAACATGGGATCATTTAGGATCATTTACACACTTCTTTCATTTATATTTCGATTATTTTATGTTGTTCTATTTATTTGATTTCCGTTCTAAAAACCACTTTACCACTTCAAGTACCTCCACAAGTGCTGCCCTTTAGCTTTGGCGAATCGGCGGCCGATGTGGGCGACATAGCCAGCGCCAATTGTGTGGTGCCCAAGGGGGACTCACCCTTGGAAATACGCTGGTCCCTCAACTCAGCGCCCATCGTAGATGGCGAGAACGGATTTAGCTTAATACGTGGAAATAGGCGAACAAGTTTGCTGAATATTGATTCGCTGAGTGCGTTTCATCGCGGTGTTTACAAGTGCACCGCCACCAATGAGGCTGGGAGCAGCGAATATGTTGCTGAATTGCAAGTTAATGGTTAGATATGTGTGTGTGTGTGTAGCACCTTAAATAATTAATACCTACTGTACTATGCTTAAGTAGCACTAAAATCAACTGCTGAATTTGCTGTTTATTGTTGGAGCACTGTGCACTTCAAGTAATCGCGTAATGTTTGGCTGTGATAACACATTCAGCATCTGATGAGTTACAAAATTGTGTGTCCTGAGTAATTATCAAGCTGGTTTGTCATAATGATCAAAACCGAGTGTGTTGAAATGTGATCAGTCTGCGCTGAATAGTAGCTCAATAGCCGAGTATTGAGAATTCCTTTCATATTTTTGAGCTCTTCACTTCAACGATTTGTTTTTTATTTATACTTTGCTCAGTGCCACCACAAGTTATGCCCTTTATTTTTGGCGATGAGCCCTCCAACTACGGCGATAGCACCGCCGTGCAGTGTATGGTATTCAAGGGCGATACACCGCTGCAGCTACACTGGACGCTGAATGGACAGCCCATAACGAACGAGAATGTGGGCATACGTATTATCAAAATGTCACCGAAACTCAGCTCATTGAGTATCGATTCCATCAATGGTCATCATCGTGGACTGTTTAAATGCATTGCCAGCAATGCGGCGGGTAGCGCTGAACAAACCGCTGAATTAGTTGTCAATGGTTCGCTCGCCATAAATTTCTATTCAATTTTATGTGTATTCAACTTTCTTCTTTTTTTTTTTTGTTTATGCGTTGATATTTTGATTTAAAATACTCCCAATAATCATCATCCCACAGTTCCCCCACAAATTAGATCGTTTGACTTTGGCGATGAGGCATCTAACTCTGGTGAAACTATAGGCATACAATGCACCGTTATCAAGGGTGATCTACCCATTAACATTAGCTGGGCCCTCAACAATCAGACGCTGACTAGCGGCGACTGGGACGTGGTCATCGGACGCATGTCGAGCAAGTCGAGCACCCTTAATATTGACTATATAGCTGCTGAGCATCGGGGCAATTATACGTGTCGGGCTCGCAATCAAGCTGGCGAGAGTAGCTACACTGCCGAGCTGAAAGTCAATGGTGCCCATATAATCATCTATCAATGCTTGTGTAACTTAATTAAGGCTTTCTTCATTTCATTTGTTATACTATTTGTTTTGCCCGTTCCCTAACCTCGTGTTCCTGTTCCTGCTCCCACTCCGGTAGTGCTACCCAGCATCCATCCCTTTAGCTTCGACAATGATGCCAATGAGGGCGACAGCGTCCAGTTGACCTGCCATGTGGCCAAGGGTGATCTACCATTGAGAATACGTTGGACCCACAATGAACTGCCGCTCTTTCCACATCTCGGCGTGATGGCTAGTAAAATAGGGGAGCGCATTAGCCTGCTGACTGTGGAGACCGTCAAGGCGGTCCATTCGGGCAACTATAGCTGTGTGGCGAGCAATACGGCGGGAAATAGTAGCTACACTGCCGAGTTGTTTGTCAATGGTCTGCGTGCACTACCATCTTATATATATATCTATTAGGATTGTATATTTTGCTTTATTGTTTCGGTTGGAAACTCCCGCCTAATACACTTCACACACTCTCACACCCGACACTCAGTACTGCCACAGATAGTGCCCTTTGCGTATGAGGATGTCATCAACACGGGCGACTCCATTGACCTGTTCTGTCAAATCCAAAGGGGAGATCGTCCCATACGGGTGCACTGGAGCTTCGAGCGCAGTGCCAGCGACAGCGATATCAGCCTTGACCAGCTGCAGCCGCAGATGCGCACCAATCGCATCAGCAGCAAGACGAGCATGTTGTCCATTCCCAGTGCGAGTCCCGCTCATACGGGCACCTACACCTGCATCGCCAGCAATGCGGCTGGAACGACTAGCTACGGTGTCAACCTGACTGTGAATGGTATTCGAATCGATTGAACGGATCTAGTCTAGTCTTGGTGGTTGTGGTTACGTTTTAATGAGCTAACTCCGTTGATTGATACTAATCCATTTAACGCGTATTGGGAATGCTCATACCTATATATCTATATTATCATATCTATACTTACCTATGCTAACAACGACTGCAACTTTACTTCTTCCTGCCCCAAGTGTCGCCCAAGATCGCACCGTTCGACTTTGGCCAGGAGCCCTTGAACTACGGCGAGCCTGCCTCGGTGCAGTGCACCATTCTAGGCGGAGATCTGCCCATGAATGTTACCTGGCTGCTGAACAATGCCACAATCGATAGCTATCATGATATATCCTTCTCGCGCATTGGCAAACGCATCAATGTTCTGTCCATTGAGTCTGTATCCGCTCACCACGCCGGCCTCTACTCCTGTCATGCGCAGAACAAGGCCGGCCTCACAGCCCACTCGGCGCGTTTAATTGTTAATGGTTTGTCAGCAGACTGTGAACATTTCTAATTGATTTCTTATCATTTTCTTTAGCTATTTAGTTTTTCCTTTTTATTAAAAAAAATCATTCCCATATACCCAACCATATTAGTGCCTCCCAAGATAACGCCCTTCTCCTTTGGTGTGGAGCCCATGAATTTCGGTGAACCTGTCTCGGTGCATTGCACCATATCGGGCGGTGATCTGCCCGTTTCGGTCATCTGGACATTGAATCGCCATCCGCTCTTGCCGGAACTGGAGATATTCACTGAGAAACGTGGCCAGCGCATTCACAACCTAATGATCGATGCCATTGAGGCGAAACATGCCGGCAATTATACGTGCATTGCCAGCAACTCAGCGGGTCGCGCTGAGCATTCAGCCGAATTGATTGTCAACGGTGCGTGGCCTCAGAGCTGTATATACACAAATATCTTATTAAAACCTTTATAGATCTGTTGTCTTTATCAACATACCCTTGCTTGATTTCAACTGATAGGTTCGCAAGGGTATTTCCACTTCGGTATACCGAAGACTGTTTTGGCTTTTCTATCAACATTTGTAGTTTTTGTATTTGTCATTAAAACTCCTACCGACTCTTAAACTTACATCTTAAAAAAAAGTGTTGTGTGCTGCTGCTGAAGTGTGTGTAAAATGAGCTGACCAACTTGTGCATCTATTGTTTCCATCTCTTATGTTACGTATTGTCAAAAACTCTCACAATTAGCTTTACCCCGCATTAGCCCATTCTCGTTTGGCGATGAGTCGATGAGTTATGGTGAATTTGTGAATGTACAATGCACCATATCGGGCGGTGATTTGCCCGTTAACATTACCTGGACACTAAATGGCAATCCCTTTGAGGATTATTTGGAAATAATGACAACCAAGCAAGGCAAACGCATCAACGGGTTGACCATCGAGGCTGTCTCGGCAAAACATGTGGGCAACTATTCCTGCATAGCCGAGAATCGAGCGGGTCGTGTTAACCATACGGCCGAATTGAAAGTGAATGGTTAATACTCTTTACTTACTTGCGCTCTTAATGATTTTGCTTTTGTTTATTTAAACCAACCACACAATCCTGACCCAACCTTAAGTGGCGCCCAAAATTGCTCCTTTTAACTTCGGCGAGGATCCCTCGAACTTTGGCGAATCGGCGAGCGTACAATGTTTGGTTACCTCTGGTGATTTTCCGGTCAGTTTCGCTTGGCTCTTCAATGGACGCGAAATAAATGAGAATGTCTACGATGTGTCCATGGTGAAGCTGGGCAAGAAGATCAGTGCACTATCCATAGACTTTGTGCGCGATCATCATGCAGGAAACTACACTTGTGTGGCGGTTAATAGGGCTACACAGGTTAACTTCACCGCCGAACTGGTGGTGAATGGTATACACGAAAACTCTACTCAACTGTCAAGTGTTTAATTTTCAATTTTATTCTTATTTCATTGCCCATCTCCCACAACCCCATCCTCAAATGAAAGTACCCCCTAAAATTGCACATTTCGACTTTGGCGATCATGCCATTAACTTTGAGGAATCGGTATCGGTTAATTGCCTCATCTATCTGGGTGACCTGCCCATGGAAATCACTTGGTTCTTTAATAATGAGCACATTCAAGCCTACACGGGCGTCTCCATTGTCAAGGGTGGCAAGAAGGCAAGCATCTTGACTATTGACTCGGTGCATGCGGGTCATGCGGGAAACTACAGTTGCAAGGCTCGCAATGATGCCGGTTCTGTGGATTACGCAGCCGAATTGGTTGTGAATGGTATTCAATATGGGGCATTATTTGTGCATGATCTGTGATTTTTCTTTAAATTTTTCTTTGACTTCCATCCCAACAAACTCTTCCCAAATAGCTCCGCCCAAAATAGCACCATTTGATTTCGGTGGGGCACCGGCCAACTTTGAGGACTCGGTGTCTGTGAATTGTTTGGTGACCTCGGGTGATTTACCCATTGAAATTGAATGGTTGTTCGATGGCTCACCGGTTAACTACGCTGCTGGCATTACGGTGCTGAAGGGTGGCAAGCGAACGAGCCTTTTAACCATTGATTCGGTGCATGCAGGACACGCTGGCAACTACAGCTGCGAGGCGAGGAATAAGGCCGCCACCAGCAAATTCTCAGCGGCTCTAATTGTCAATGGTTGGCAACTCCATATCACTTCCTATAAGATATCAATTCTATAAAACTTTAGTTTGTTTATGTACTTATTTTAATATACCGAAAACCCCACATTTTCCACTCTGCTACACCCCCAAGTACCGCCCAAAATAACACCCTTTAGCTTTGGCGAGGAGCCTGCAAATGTTGAGGACTCTGTCTCGGTAACATGTCTGATATCAACGGGAGATTTACCCATCGATATCGAATGGTTATTCAATCACTACGGCATCAGTTCATACTCCGGTATTATGGTCATGAAGGGTGGCAAAAGGAACAGCGTCCTGAGCATAGATAATGTTCATGCCAGTCATGTTGGAAATTACACTTGTCGCGCAAAGAATCAGGCTGCTGCCGTCAATTATACCACCGAACTGATTGTGAATGGTACTCTCCGCGACTTACATAAAACTAATGTATAGTTATTAGTTATTTGATTACTTTTCTGTTGACATTAATCTTCTATTTAATTGATCCCATTTAAAAATATTTTGGCTTCCAAAGCACCGCCCAAAATCACACCCTTTACTTTTGGAGATGAACCCACAAATGTTGAGGACTCCGTTTCGGTAACTTGCCTCATCTCCAGCGGCGACTTACCGATTGATATTGAATGGTTCTTCAATGACTATGGCATCAGTTCGTATTCGGGTATAAACGTAGTCAAAGGTGGCAAGCGTAACAGTATGTTGAGCATTGATAATGTCCAGGCCCGGCATGCTGGCCTATATAGCTGCAAGGTTAAGAATCACGCGGCAGCAGTTAATTATACAACGGAATTGATTGTGAATGGTATTTTGCAGAAAGCTGTTGGATAATATTTTGAAACATTTATGTAGAGATTTGTATTTAGTTTTCTTTTTTGTTTTGGTACCAACTATACCCTCCTGTTTAAAACACCTAACTCTTTGATTAAAGTACCGCCTAAGATAACGGCTTTCGATTTTGGAGAGGAGCCCACTAACGTGGAGGACTCTGTGTCCGTAACGTGTCTCATCTCCAGTGGAGATCTACCCATCGATATTGAGTGGTTCTTTAACGACTATGGCATCAGTTCCTATTCGGGCATTACGGTTGTCAAGGGCGGCAAGCGTAGCAGTGTCCTGGGCATTGATAATGTACAGGCCCGGCATGCCGGGAAGTACAGTTGTCGGGCTAAGAATCACGCAGCTGCTGTCAATCATACAACTGAGCTTATTGTGAATGGTATTGCTTATAATGATTGTTGATTTGTATATGTAGATTTTGTTTATTATTTAAAGTTGTTTCACTTTGTGTTATATCTCCTTGATATTACCTTAAAGTACCTCCCAAAATCACGCCTTTTACCTTCGGAGAGGACCCCACAAATGTCGAAGACTCAGTTTCGGTCACTTGCCTCATCTCTAGCGGTGATTTACCCATCGACATTGAATGGTTATTTAATGACTACGGCATCAGCTCTTACTCGGGTGTAACGGTGATGAAGGGCGGCAAGCGGACGAGCATGTTGACCATAGATAATGTAAGTGCTCGCCATGCTGGCAAGTACACCTGTTTGGCCAGGAATCATGCGGCTGCTGTCAATCATACCACCGAATTGATTGTGAATGGTATACTAGAGTTTAACTTCTGAGTTGGATATACATATATTACACGTAGCTTATATTTTCAGTTTTATGTTAACTTTCCCAATCCAATCCAACAGTTATAAGGGTGCTTAACTTCAATGACCAGATCTATTTGTAATATATTTATGTACATGAAATTCCTATAGCTCCCCCAAAACTAGCACCCTTTGATTTTGGCGAAGTGCCCGCTAACTTTGAGGACTCCGTTTCTGTGAACTGTTTGGTTTCATCGGGAGATCTACCCATCGAAATTGAGTGGCTGTTCAATGGTCAACCCATAAACTTTGCCTCCGGCATTGCTGTCGTACGCGGGGGCAAAAGAACCAGTGTTTTAACCATAGACTCTGTGCACGCTGGTCATGCGGGAAACTATAGTTGCAAGGCGAAGAATAAAGCAGCTAGTAGTGAATATGCGGCTGCTCTAATTGTGAATGGTTGTTAACATTTATAAAGCTTCCGACTAAATTAACGTGTTTATTATGATTTCGTTTTTAATGCATCCTTACTTATCCCAAAAAGTACCACCCAAAATTACGCCCTTTAATTTTGGCGACGAGCCAGCGAATGTTGAGGATTCAGTATCGATTATGTGTCAAATATCAACTGGCGACCCACCCATCGACATTGAGTGGTTGTTCAACGATTACGGCATCAGTTCCTACTCTGGCATTAGTGTCATAAAAGGTGGCAAACGGAACAGTGTGCTAAGCATTGATAGTGTTCAGGCCCGTCATGCTGG